CTTCTGCCAACCTAGCAGTTCAAAAGCATGTAAAAATGCAAGTAGAAAAATAGGACCATCTTGGTGGGAAGGTAACAGTGTTCTGCACGCCTTTGCCATTTAGTCATCCAGCCACATGACCACAGAGATGTCTTTGGACAGCTTTGAAATGGAGATGAGCACCACCCCCTAGAATCACGAACGAATACCACATATGTGCGAAGGGAACCTTTACCTTTTAATCTATCTATGTTTGGTATTAGCTTTCAAGGGGTAAGTAGTTCAATACTTGAAGGATGGTAATCTATGGATTACTGTGACTTTTTATAAGATCTACTGAAAAAGTTGTTCCATGTGCTGTGCCTGTGCTGAGGTATGGCTAGCAAAAATAAGCAGATGAAAGAAAACAATAAACAAATCCACGCCCGGCGATATACAAGACCCATGGGAAACTGTTCCTTCAGATAAAACTAGTTGGAATGATACAGTCATATAAACTGACTTCATATTTTGCTTCTAATCTGGCACTAACGGCAGCTCCACATAGAGTGCTTTATTATAACTTAGCCTGTAATAGAAATTCTTGCCATTCTCCAGTGAAGTGTTAAATTGAAGTCATTTCCCAGTTTACAGTAAACACATTCATGCAAGATATGAAACCTTTATTAGTAGGCATTCTTAATAATCCCACTTAATATTGTGTTTCTACTGTCAACAATGTTTGTGCAGTGTGTAATTTGCCTCTAAGCAAAAATATACCTTGGAATGATCACAGTATCAAAGAGTGGTCAAACCACACCCTGATACTTGCAATGAATTCTTGAAGATAGAGCCACAGCTCAGCCTAATCAGCTTATTATTTTTCTTTATAAACTTTTGATTTCTACAGTCCAGTGTTCTTGTTCGGATAATTAAGGATTAGTCCAGGGACTGTGAGCCACTTTCTCCCAATACAGCCTTCTATACATAACAGTACATCCACTTTCACCCCAGCAGAGAATACTATCCGGTGAAACCATATGACAAAATACTGATAAACAAAGCATTTCAGTAGTAGTAATAATACTGATGATTATTCATTAAATTCATATGCTCTCTGAATCCTAGCAACTATGTGTGGTCTATAATTAATGAAAGATTTAAAAACAAAGACCAATACAAATAAAAATAAAAGCACAAAAACAGCAGAGCACAAAAGCCCAACATTGGCTAAGAAAACAAGCTCAAGAGGAGAAAAGAAAGGAAGAAAGAAAGGAATGTCAGTTTCGTTTCCAAATCCTGGGTGAAAAGCCAGGTTTTTACTGCCCTTTGAAATATCTGTAGAATGGGAGACATTCAAATTTCAGGGGGAACCTGTTTCCAGAAGGCAGATGCTGCTACAGAGAAGGTGTGCTTTTATTTTTATTTGTATTGGTCTTTGTTTTTAAATCTTTCATTAATTATAGACCACACATAGTTGCTAGGATTCAGAGAGCATATGAATTTAATGAATAATCATCAGTATTATTACTACTACTGAAAT